GAGACGAAATAGCCGGCTCTTTATAGTAAGCCAGAGCCAAAAGAATTCCCTATTCCCTACGGAAACTTATGGCGGTATGTGAGTGAGTCAGGAAGTGGGTGGTAGTTCTGGTTGGCGTGGATTAGAGCCCGGATAAACCTCACAAGTAGTCGAGAATTTTCGCGGTGATAAATCATCACGCAAATTAAATATTTCGGAGGAAGCAAAGCCAAGAAGTCGGAATATTAGTTCAAGTGTGCGAGGGCAGATGCCTGTCCTTCTGGAAACGTATGGCGTAGCAAAAAAGATGGAGGTTGCGTAAGTTCAGATGTTGGAAGTACAATTACGAACAAAGTATGTAACACAGAAGTTAAAGGCGCATTGTGAAACTTTGCTGGTGGAGGATCCTTCAAATTATTTTCTCCATATAGATGTTACTGTTTTGTCTGGAATTTTTCACAGTATGATATTAACCCTTTCTATCTTCATGGAGACCAACCAGACCAAGTTACAGGTCAGATCTGTGGAGAGCAGGTATTTCTGAGCTATAAAACCACCTGGAATTGAATAAATGTAAGATAGAGCTGTTTAATGTCACACTGTGGAGTGTTCAAAGTGCAAGAATGAACAAAGTGCAACGTGAAAGTAAAGTTAGTGTATTTAAACCCTTTGAAGTTAGTAAACACAATTAAAATTTTCCGGAATGGAAGAAACTGGAGCGTAAAGTGAAGTGGAACATTATGTGATTTCAATAAAGAAAGAGGACTGACTAGAGAAAAACCATGAAATATGAAAAGTCAAGATGGTTATGGTGAATAATAACCACTCAGATTGATGTGAGTGACGCCGGAGCCTGGTTTAAAGCTACAATATGTAACTTTTCTGGAGGAGGGTCTGCCACCTGCTCGTCTCGCTGCTGCAAATTAGAGACACTAAACAAAGACGACTTCCTGCGCGTCTATCGGTAGCTTTTAGACATTTTTGGTCCTACGTTTTAAGAAATAATGACTCACTTTTGCCTTGCGTGTTTTCTATAAGTGCAGTGCTCTGATGGTTTTTGAACAGAGTGTCTCAAAGCTCGTCTCTTTACTGCAGACAGGAAACAGCTTTCACTACTTTTAACTTGTGCTGAGAGGTCTCTTCACTTTTTCACTCTTTGTCTGTGGTCTGCACTTTTTTTAAAAAAATCGTTTAAGGCTCGAAAATCCTGTAGTGTGTGGCGGAATTTAGAATGGTTGTTTTTGAAGGTACTATTGAGAAAAAAAAAAAAAAAACTACTTACAGGTTTTGATTTAGACATTTAATGCCATACTGTGGAACATTGCAGGAAATCAGTATCATCCCCATTGAGACAAGCAGGTGGTGGAACATAGAAGATTGTTATAGAGTCCATCCAGATTTTTTGTTATATTACAAATACAATACTTACATATATCCATATTTTTTGGACTATAAGTCACTTTTTTTTCATGGTTTGGGTGTTTCCTATACTCCGGTGCAACTTATATATTAAAATTTTCACACTGACAGCCGCAAGAGGCTCTAGTCTTGTGTGTCAGTACTTCTACTCCTATTACTCCTGTACCACTGTCACTTCACTCTACTGCGCATGTCTCCTGCAGAAAGAGCCTCTGTCCTGCTGCAAGTAGTGAAAAATGCAGCAGAAAACGGTAATCGAGCAGCAGAAAGAAAGTTTGGAGTGAGCGAGAAACTTGTGAGGGACTGGTCAAAGGCGGGGATGGAGAACACAGCTTCACAACAACCGGGAGGGTGCTCCATGCAACTATAATGGAATTCATTGGATGGATCGACAAAGCCTGGACTTCAGTGATACCGAAACCATCCTGTCGGGATTCAGAAAGGGCAGAATAATTCTAACTGGAACTGATGCTGAATCTGCGAAGTGGCGCTTTGTTTACCTATGGAGGTTGTGGAGTTGCTCAAAAAAGCACTGAAAATGAAGAATTCAATGGATTTAGTGATTTAGAGTGAGATGGCGAGTTTGATAAACTTGTTCTGTTCTGTTGTTTATGCTATAGTTATCTGAAGAATTGTTCATATGTGATTGTTACGACCCAGCTCGTTGGGGCGAGGGAAGTAACAAAAATAAAACCAAGATGTGAAATAGAATAAATTAAATAATGTTTAATTAACAGGAATGTAAAGGTAAATTAACAAAACAGACTAAAATATACAGAAAATAGGGGGAGGTGGCTGCAGGTGAGGTGGGCCGTCGACCTGCCCCACCAATCACGGACCAGGGCTCCTGCAGCAGGAATCAGGAGAACTCAGCAAAATCACACAAAACAAATTAGAACTAAGGTCTGGGGCCGTAACAGTGATGTTAACAGTCTGTTGTTCTCTGTTCTATTGTTATTACTAGAACTTCACTTTCAAGGTGAAATGTCGGATCCTGGTCTCTGATTTTATAAAATAAATTTCCTCAAAAAAGTGTGACTTATAGTTTGGTGCGACTTACATATGTTTTTTTCTTCTTCATTATGTATTTTTTGGCTGGTGCGACTTATACTCCGGAGCAACTTATAGTCTGGAAAATACGGTAAATGTCAACCACACTATAGTATATCGTTTTATGACCACTCTACTAAAACATATGCATTTAGAAGATGCGGTAAATCAGTGAAAAGTTCTAAGAAAACATTGAAGTGCACCTTTAAGTGTTTTAGAAGTCCTCAGAATAAGAGCGATAATGGGAAGGTGCGTTTAAGTACAAGCATCTTTAGCATCTTTCTTTGTTTAAGTATAAAAAAATAACACTTTAAGCAACTGAATGACCTCAGATCGACTTTAAAAACTGCACTCAAAGCACTCTGGGAAATAGCATTTGGAAGTAGATGTTGGCAGTGGAAGAAAGAGTACTCAAAATGTGTAAATGTGGCTATAAATGTACTCAGTTACAAATACTGCAGCCAACACTGGAGTAAAATAAATGTATGCATCGAAAATACTACGCAAAGGACGGTTGTAGACAGTTTTAGTATAGATTATTTGTCCATGGACCACTATGGGACCTACCTGGACAACTGAGGGATTACACAGGGGTCTCCAACCTGTAGCTCGGGAGATACCAGTAGCTCTCCAGCCCATTCCAAGTAGCTCCCCAAAAGATGTAGGAGTTAAACATACTACACTGAATAATTTAAATCTGATCAATCACATGTCTGTTATCAGAGAAAATGTCTAATATTGTGCACTGATATACTGATTTATGGTTAATGTTTATAGTCAGCTAAATCACTGTTTCCCAAAGACTGAGTTGTGACCTTCAGGTGGGTCGCAAGAGAATTTTTTGGGTCGCCGTGTCGAGATCTAGGGCCTCCTAGTGCCTCCGTTCAATTTCATTTCTCTCCAGCGACTAGGTCAGGAATCAGAATACATTAGACGGTTCGCAAAAACCCTGGAAGTGCGAGTCCGGGCACCGACCAATCAGCGAAAAGTCATACATTCTGTGTTGTTAACGATTTCCGAGTTCGAGGATTTAAAGCTGGAATAAAGAGAATGTTGGCTGAATTTCATCAAGGGGAAAGACGTTATTGCCCTTCTTCCTACGGGATTTGGTGCATTACCTACGTCACGACCAAATAGCAGTGATTGGTTAAATAAAAAAAAAGTACCCGCCTACTGTCAAGTGAATGAATTCTAACACTGCGAGGTCAGACGGTTTCTACGAAGTGAAACCGGCTGATGACTCAGGCTAAAGATCTGCATGTAGGTCTGCAATATACACTTCTGGTTATACACCTGATATACATGTTGCACTCTCCTCCTGCACCCCGGACTGGAATGTTCTACAAATACACAGACAGGCCCACCTATCTCAGCAGAAATGTTGAAATGTTAAGACATGTTTTGTATAATTTCTGATCTTTTTGTAATTATTTTATTGACTATTTTGTTCCAATATTGCTGGTTCAATTGAATGTTGAAAAAGAAAAAAGAAATGGGCTACATTTAATGTCCAAATAGACGACTTATGGATCCTTTTTATTGTCCTTTTTATAGCTGCATCAATGGCTGTTTTTCATTGTTTAAAACTTGAGTAATGCTAATTGTTCAGAGAGACACGATCACTCAGTCAACAATAAAATATCCTGATTAATGTTCAGTAATGGTCAAATCCACCTTTATTTTGTGAGTTACGAATAATGCCTATTGACTTGAGTCGCAAAGGTTTGTGACTTTTCAAATATGGGTCCCCAGAAAAACACTGATCTAAATACACCCCATTTAAAGGTAATTATATCGGCTCAATTTTGTGCAACACCTAAAAGCAGTAGCTCTCCGACACTTAAGGTTTTTAGACGTAGCTCATCACGTAAAAGGGTAAAAGGTTGGAGACCCTTGGATTACACAGATATAAGGCCACATGGTAACATAAAATTATTATTCTTTAATGTTGGAAATCATGTTCTATTGTCTAAAGAAAGTGTTGTTTTTTTCTGAATTGGTATTGAGTATCACGTCTATGTCACGTGGAAACAGAGGGAGGACCCAAAACGCAGGACTGCTTCAAAAAATATTTAATGACAAATCAAAAAATCCAAAACTCAAGACTAAATTGCCATGGCAAGAGACACAGAGACACTCGGACAGAGACAATGGACCAACAAAGGGCAGAGGAGAACACAGGGTATAAATGCACACACATAGACACAGGTGAAACACATTAGGGCGGCGCAAACAATCAAGACAGGAAGTAAAACTCAAAAATACAAGGTGACAGGACAAATGTCAAAATAAAACACAAACTACAACCACTACAAAACATGAACCATGACAGTCTATTCCTTAATGTCTTTTTCTTCAAAACATTTCAATATATGTTATGATCTAGTCTGGTCAAGTCTTCATTCGGGACTAGTGTAAGGTCGGTCTTCTTATGACCTGAAAGACACTGATGTAAATTCTTATGTGACTAAAGAACTATGAATGAACAGTGTAAAAGAGTAGAATGTCGTTTTGTGTTTTGTCTAATGTGTTTATGTTTCTCTTGTGTGCAGGTGACGGCCTCAGACGCAGACGCCGGCTCCTTCGGCTCCCTCTCGTACTCCCTCCTCTCCAGCTCTCCTCTCTTCAACATCCACAAAAGTACGGGTCAGATCTGCACCACGGCGGCGCTGGACAGAGACCAGGGGCCCTCCAGCTACGACCTCACAGTCACCGCAGTGGACGGGGTAAGACTACTACTACTACTACGATATTTCTTGGAGGATAACAAAATTTTGAATATCTATGTTTTTAAATGCCTTGGCAAGCCTTTGGTTCTGTCATAATCCAAAGAATTTGTTTTATATTACGCAAAATTGACTCTCGTGAGCTTTAAAGGTTGTATAGAGGATTTTCCAAGGAACGAGAAATCCAGCGACTGTTTGTCCTTTTTCAAATGTTGCGCATGCGTGAAACCACCCCCCCTCCCCTACAGCTCCTACGTAGAAACGCCTCCTCCCGCCTCCTCCTTACGCCAGAAACAGGTTTGTTTACAGCCGGTGCGCTGCACATGACTTGTAAACAACTAACTACAGTGTTGGTTAGGCAAGACGGAGAAGTGAGGAGCGGGGGGAGCGGGTGTGCGGACATTTCGTGTGCGGACGAGAAGTGAGGAGCAGGGAGAGGAGAGAGGAGAGAGGAGAGGGAGCGGAGATTCCGTGCCCGGAGAAGTGAGGAGCAGGGGGAAGAGCGGAACGGGCAGCGGGGACAGGAGCAGGAAAGGGGTGCAGAGAAGGTTGCGCGGAGATTCAGTGCGAATGAACTAGCTACAACACGCAGCAGCAAGCGGACTCTTTCTTTGCCTTGAAAATTACGTTTTCAGACATAGGATATCGCTTTTTGTGTCCTGAAAAACGTTTGTTCTAGCTCTTGGAAATAAAGTACGTTTTCATAATAAGCAGAAGTTTCCTGTCCAGGAGTAATTTGGCGACCAGTGCGTCAGTCTTTAGACCCTGCGTCTGCTTCAGTTGCGCCATCGCTGGAATGAATCTACAAGAATCACCTTAGTTTGGCTTCGCTGCTTTTCCCCTTGTCTTCTTCTTTCAGCGACCTCAAAAACGGACTTTCTTTTGCGGCGAACTGCTCCTGGATTCTTGTCGCCATTGCAACAAACTTTGTGCGAACTGCGAGGAAGATATAGGTCAAAAAAAGCCGCTAAGAACTGTTGCGTTGGTGGAGTAAACAGCGTCTGTGCGTCTTGCGTCTGTGGACTGCGTGACAGTCGTACGTAAACCACGTACCGGCGGCGCAGGCAAGTCAGTTACGCTAGAAACGTAGGGAGTTTGATTGACAGCCTGTCAGCTCACAGATAACGAGGCAGTGTCGTTATCTATTGGCAAATGTTTAGCCCCACCACGTCCAGAGTTGATGAATTTTTATTCTCTTTTTTTTGGTCATCATAATTACAAGGCTACTGCACCTCTATAATCTATCATTGACAACTTGAAACAAAAAAAAATCCTCCATACAACCTTTAAGCCATGTTAGAATGTTGGTACTGCCTCAAAACAGACCTGGAGTTGTGTTTGAGTAACCCTTTATTATTAATCTGTCTACATCTCCAATGCTCGAAATGGTCTGTTCCACTTTGTGATGTCATGAAGTGGTAGTTTTCCCTTTTACCTTTAGTTCAGTAGCGATTCGCAATTCCAAGGCTGAAATCATCCAAATGATTTTAGCGAAGGTGTAGGGACTTTAAAAACACAGTGGAGTACTTCCTGTATTTGTGCACTAAACATGTGTGAATGTTTGTGATGAGGAAATAACATTAACATAGATCAGAAAATAAATAAAGATCAGAAAATAACATTAATATAGATCAGAAAATAAATATAGATCAGAAAATAACATTAAATAGATCAGAAAATAACATTAAATATATCAGAAAATAACATTAAATAGATCAAAAAATAAATATAGGTCAGAAAATAATATTAACATAGATCAGAAAATAACATTAAACAGATCAGAAAATAACATTAAACAGATCAGAAAATAAATATAGATCTGAAAATAACATTAAATAGATCAGAAAATAAATATAGATCAGAAAATAAATATAGATCAGAAAATAACATTAAATAGGTCAGAAAATAACATTAAATAGGTCAGAAAATAAATATAGATCAGAAAATAACATTAAATATATCAGAAATAAATATAGATCAGAAAAATAACATTAATATAGATCAGAAAATAAATATAGATCAGAAAATAACATTAATATAGATCAGAAAATAAATATAGATCAGAAAATAACATTAACATAGATCAGAAAATAACATTAAATAGGTCAGAAAATAACATTAAATATATCAGAAAATAACATTAAATAGATCAGAAAATAAATATAGATCAGAAAATAACATTAATATAGATCAGAAAATAAATATAGATCAGAAAATAACATTAAATAGGTCAGAAAATATAGATCAGAAAATAACATTAAATAGATCAGAAAATAAATATAGATCAGAAAATAACATTAAATATCAGAAAATAACATTAAATAGATCAGAAATAAATATAGATCAGAAAATAACATTAAATAGATCAGAAAATAAATAAGATCAGAAAATTAATAGATCAGAAAATAACATTAAATATCAGAAAATAAATATAGATCAGAAAATAACATTAAATAAATCAAAATAACATTAAATAGAGCAGAAAATAAATATAGATCAGAAAATAACATTAAATAATAGAAAATACAATAGATCAAAAATAAATATATCAGAAAATAATATTAACATAGATCAAAATAACATTAAACAGATCAAAATAACATTAAACAGATCAGAAAATAAATATAGAGAAAATAACATTAAATAGATCAGAAAATAAATATAGATCAGAAAATAAATATAGATCAGAAATAACATTAAATAATCAGAAAATAAATATAGATCAGAAAATAACATTAAATAATCAGAAAATAAATATAGATCAGAAATAACATTAATATAGATCAGAAAATAAATAGAAAAATAAATAAATAGATCAGAAAATAACATTAAATATCAGAAAATAACATAATCAAAATAAATATAGATCAGAAATAACATTAAATAAAAATAAATAACATAAATAGATCAGAAATAAATATATCAGAAAATAACATTAAATAGATCAAAAAATAAATATAGGTCAGAAAATAATATTAACATAGATCAGAAAATAACATTAAACAGATCAGAAAATAACATTAAACAGATCAGAAAATAAATATAGATCTGAAAATAACATTAAATAGATCAGAAAATAAATATAGATCAAAAATATAGATCAATATAGATCAGAAAATAACATTAAATAGGTCAGAAAATAAATATAGATCAGAAAATAACATTAAATAGATCAGAAAATAAATATAGATCAGAAAATAACATTAATATAGATCAGAAAATAAATATAGATCAGAAAATAACATTAATATAGATCAGAAAATAAATATAGATCAGAAAATAACATTAAATAGATCAGAAAATAAATATAGATCAGAAAATAACATTAAATAATCAGAAAATAAATATAGATCAGAAAATAACATTAAATCAGAAAATAAATAGATCAGAAAATAACATTAAAATAGATCAGAAATAAATATAGATCAGAAAAACATTAAATAGATCAGAAAATAAAATAGATCAGAAAATAACATTAAATAGATCAGAAATAACATTAAATATAGAAAATAAATAAAATCAGAAAATAAATATAGATCAGAAAATAACATTAAATAAATCAGAAAATAACATTAAATAGAGCAGAAAATAAATATAGATCAGAAAATAACATTAAACAGATCAGAAAATAAATATAGATCAGAAAATAACATTAAACAGATCAGAAAATAAATATAGATCAGAAAATACAGTAGAGTAATATGGGCCCTTTAAATGTGCTTAGTAACTGTTATTTCTTCATGTCGTCTGTACTGAAACACAGCAAAGGATCATGGTCTATGTAGTTCCCTCTGTTTCTTTTACCTATTGCTGCACCAAAACAATTAATTTAAGCAAAGACACTTGTAATTTGATATTGTGATGGTCCACGATATTACTGAGAGACTTTTGACTATATGATACAATGATATTTTTCAATTTTGTTACATCCCTAAGGACGACTGCACTAATCACGTCATTTTGAAACCGTCGTCACAAAATTGCCGCCATTACTGACAATTTTAGCTGCACAATCATTGACCCAGCAGGAGGCTAAGTTGCTCCAAAGTTCTGCTGTTTACTTTCGACTTAAAGGTGCACTAGGAAACTTTTTTGTTGGGGTTCATTCGTCACCTGCTTGTTTCTATGGATATGTCATTTTATAGCTCAAAAATAGCTAGAAAAACAGACATTCTGACTGTGAGCGAGGTCGCCTCTCCACAGGTCTGACCTGTAACTTGGTCTCATTTGGTTTCCATGATGATAGAAAGGTTTAATATCATACTGTGAAAAGTTCCAGACAAAGCAATAACATCTCCATGGAATAAAGCACAGAAGAAGTTACACAATGTACCTTTAACTCCAGAGATGTTACGCCTCGCTGTCCCGAAACATGGCAGATTTATGGCATAATGTTCAAATATTATCACATTTAGTGCGATGGATCTGTTGGTGACGTGATGTCTACTTTAGTAAGTAAGTAAGTCTTTATTTATAGAGCGCTTTTCACAGACACATGTCACAAAGACGTTTTACAGAGCATTATTCAGCATTATTCATTCACTTCATGCCCGGTGGTGGTAAGCTACTATTGCAGCCACAGTTGCCCTGGGGCAGACTGACAAAAGCGCGGTTGCCATGCCAATCAGCTCCATCAGTCCGTTTGACCACCACCATCACTCATACACACTCACACACGCACCACTTTCATACTCTTCATAGCGATGTGGGGGAAGTGTCTTGCCTAAGGACACAACAACAGTTTTGCCACTGGCGCCCCCCTGTGGCACCTGATTTTCCCAGTGGTCTCCCATCCAAGTACCGAGGCCCAGCCCTGCTTAGCCTCTGAGATCTGACAGGATCAGGCTCTGACAAGCTGGTATGGCCACACTTTAAAATGGACCAAGCACGACACAACACAAGTTTGGACACACTTTCTCTTCTTTATTTCCCTGATTATTTACATTTTTGATCCTCACTGAAGGCATCAGAATTATAAAAGAATACCGATAGAGTAAAAT